TTGAAGGGCTCACCGCAACAAAGCCCGCAGCCGCGAAAGCCGAAGTGCCAGGTGGCGGCTGACCAGAAGGCCCTCTGCACCGCCGACATCTCCGACCCTGGGCTGTCCTAAACATGGCCTGCATCGTGTACTCACCGACAGTAGCGTAGAGTTTCATGACAGTAACATGGAGTATAGCAGGCATCTTTTCCGGCATATCGCGACTCTCTTGAGGTGCCCTTCGCATGCCGGGCATGAAGCAGCCTGCAGTCTCAAGTTTTTAGGGCTTGTCGCTTCCACAAGCCCGAATCTATGCGCTGGGAAGCCTCAAGTCAGTGTTGTTCCTCAACCCTGTACCAAACCCACCGCCATGCGCCACAAGCCTGTACCAAAGCCTGGTACAATCTAAGCCCCACCCAAGAACCCCAGGAAGTAAACCCTCCAGCAGCCTGAGCTCAAAGCACGCAAACCCACACATCCAACACTCTCAGGATATGGTGGCCGCGCTGACCAACGGACCCGCCGCCGGCATCGCCTCGACCTCGGACTGCGCCGACCTCTAAGCGACCTGGCGCCATGACTTAAGGATCAGGCTCACTTTGCCCGACGGTCTTTCGGAGTTTTCTGACAGTCCTATGCAATCCAGATACCGAAATTTCCTTTCAGAGCCCTCGCAAAAGCAAGTCCAAGTGGTGTCCGTGCTGATTCTTTGTGGGCGGTTTGAAGGAAGGTTGACGGTTTGGTCGGGGCCACGAGATTGGTGCCAGGCGAGGCGTGCGCAAAGGGCCAACTACGGCCGCAGCGCTGGGGACATCCTGGCTGAGTTCGAAACCTGTGGATCCGAACAGTCAACAGTCATGTTTCTGATGCGTGCTCAGTTCTTAGTTGAATGCTCAAAACTCAGCCGTGGTTCCTGCTTTTAATTAGTGATGGTTGGAGACCATCCCTCATTCCCTCTGGCACCCGCGAGGGGTGAGGTGCATCACGTGTGCGGCTTCAGGTGAAATTTGCCTGCAGGCACGTCTGTTGGGACTGTCTACCTTCTTCACCGCATCGTGCTGGACGGAGGCTCTCGGGCAATCCGTAAGAGAGACCTGCCGGCCCGACGCCATTTTGCGTCACGCACGGAGCGATCGCTCCTGTCCGCAAGAAAAGTTCCGCTTGGAGCCGGAAGCCCCCCCCGATGCCCGGTCCTTGGTCGAATTGTGTAGGGTTCCAAGCCTCTTGAAGCTTGCGGAGGTCCAGAGGTCCAGTGTCAGGGCGTCGGGACGTCTTAGGCCCAAAAAACGCTTCGGAGCTGGAGCAGCCACAGCCTAGCCTTGCGCATTGATGTGTTCCGGTATCCTCTAATTTTAGTCTGGACTATATGGTTAGATATAGAGTTACAGTGCCTTTCGTAAGGCCGCAGTGCATGCTATTCAGGTTGTTTCATGTAGTGTTGGGGACGAAAGCTCTCTTGAAGTGATGGGGCTCCAGATCTTGCTGCGAGATTTGGGGCTTGAAGGTTTTGGGGTTTCGGCTTGAGGGTCAGCAAGGCTGCAAGAAGCCATCATGGCTGCGCACGAGGCATGCATGGTACGCCGCGCCGCCCATCTGCTTCAGGCATTGCTGCACGTGGACTGGAACCAGGGCCCTGTCTGTTTCCTCGATTTCCCGCCATGGCACTCACCCACGGCGCACTTTCGGAGGAGGAGGCCAGTATGGGTCCTGATGATGCCGTCAAGAGCTTCCTAAAACCTCCAAGCTCTGAAGCGGACCTAGCATTGCCGGTTGCCGACTTTTTTGCCTTAGCCATGATCTGGAGCAGTCCCCTAGTCCTCAAGCGCTAGAGCTTGCTTTCTGCAGAACCCCAGCAAAGACTCCGCCAAGCTTCTCAAATCCTGGAGATCCTGTATCGTCCCTGTGGCGAATCCGGCAGGAGGTCCTCATGGAGAAGCCCAGTGCGCCCAAGGGACGCTGGTACCTCGCAGGCGCCAACGCACGTCCGACTCGTTTGACATGAGTTCGCCGAAGCGCCGATTCGCTGGTTGCACTAGTGTGCGGAAAGCCATAGCTTGGAAGGTGCCGCCGTTGCGATCCTGGTGCTTGTTGGCGTCGTGGCCAAGGCACCGTTCTGGATGATGTCGGGATTGGTCGCGGTCGGAGCTTTGGGGACAAGGGTCAAGGTTCTGTGGGCTTGCGGCTTTGCACGAGATCTTGCCTCCTGGATCTCAGGAACCTGCCCCTTAGGTCCTCAGGTTGCTGAAATGATTGATAACAGATTGCAGCAATCAGAGGTCTTGATAAAAGAGTCTCGTGCGAAGCCCTGCATCTTGAATCCGTCGTGCAAAGGCACGAGACGCTAAAGCGCCTGCAACCTGCACATCATTTCACGTCCTGACGGTTGGCTGGTCGCCGTGTAGTGCTTCGCATTTGCGGTGAATGGCTTCCGTCCACGTGACGTGGGTGTTCGGCGTTTGCTGGCTTACTTGCCCCATGACGAGGTGTCTCACTCCTCGCTCGCCAAGTCCAAGACGCTGGATGAGATC